CACCTTGCTCTATTTTTTTAACGCACGTTCAAAAACGGGAACATTTTCGGGAGTTTCAACCGGGTACCAGCCACCGAAAACGGGGACTCTGCCCGGAAAACGGGGACGTTTTGGTCACCCATCCGACTGTGTTTACAGCTAAGCACACACGCTAACATTAAGACTACAAGCTCACTTGGGGTTGAGAATTTTTTACACGTTGCTTGACTACCTGCCCACATACCTGATCTAAACATATTGGGGAAAATAATTATTTAAAGTTATTTAATAATTGTGACATTTATTGTACTTTTTGATGGATGAATGATGCTCAAAGTGAGGGGGCAAAGAATACAACTGAGGGGGCAATGACCCCTTTTGCCCCCTCGTGGCGCCGGGCCCGCACCTGTCACTCAAGACAGTGCTGTTACTGGCTCTGGCATCCGCCAAGCGGGTCAGTGACATTCATGCGCTATCTGTACATCCTTCATGCACTCAGTTCTCCCCAGGGCTAACGAGAGTGTTGCTAAAGCTCAACCCTGCCTTTATACCTAAGGTGGTTGGTTCATGTACCCCAATTGACATTGAGGCATTTCTTCCGCCGCTGTGTCCCTCCGGGGAACAGCAGGCGAATTTGCTATGTCCAGTCCGTGCTTTACGCACTTATATAGATAGATCAAAAGAGTTTCGTCGTAATGACCAACTCTTTGTGTCCTGGGCTAACCCTCAGAAGGGCAAGCCTGTTACTAAGCAACGGCTCTCTCACTGGATTGTGGAGGCAATTGCTTTGGCTTACACGAGTCAGGGTCTGCAGGCATCTTCGGGTTTGCGTGCTCATTCAACTCGTGGTCTGGCTACATCCTGGGGTTTGTTCAAGGGTGTCTCCATCCAAGACATTTGTGCAGCAGCGAGCTGGTCCTCGCTGCTCACTTTTGTCCGCTTTTAGAGGCTAGACGTCTCTGCTCCCAGTGTGGCCCGAGCAGTGCTGGGCACCCTGTTGAGTCAGAGCTCTACCTGTTAAGTTCTGGTTGGTTTGGTGATTATCGAGATAAGCTCGTCTGGCAATACGGGAGCTACAATATCCCATAGTGAGACATCGAACGGAGTGTTATGAATGAGAACTATAGGTTACTTACGTAACCCCAGTTCTCAGAGTAACATGAAGTGAGATGTCTCACCAGATGGCCCTCCTTGCTATGGTGAAGCGAGAAGAGGTGCTTATTTTGAATGACGCATGCGGCGTAGCGCAAGCTACTTATAGGGGGTGGATTCCCTGACGCTGACGTCAAGATCACCTGCCAATCAGGATTGGCGTAATGAGATTGATGCTTCTGTTTGCTCCTCGGATGAGGCGCATCCCATAGTGAGACATCTCACTTCATGTTACTCTGAGAACTGGGGTTACATAAGTAACCTATAGTTTTAGAACAACATTTTAGTAAGCTTACGTTAATCACAGATCTTACATCAACGATCTAAATAAAACGTTCAAAACCATTGACTTTAAAATAAGGGAACCGTAATTGCTAACCCTCCAGATTTAAGGACTCTATTTTGACCACTTTTCTGAACATTTCAAGCCATGAAATGACACTGAAAAGAGTTCAAAGAATCTTTCATCAGATACTGTGTTGGTAGTGGTTTTTAGTTTAGATCTGTTCTATTTTCCAGCCTTCCTGTATTTCTTTCAGCCGCACACACAGAGGGGTCTTCAACAGAGCTGGAGGTAGGTGTAGAGTGGGTGTCTCTATTTGCGGATTCAGCTGGGCTGTTTTAGGAGGACCATAAACAGAGCGACACCACCCACAGAGAGAGGCCGATAGGCAGAGACAGGGCCGACCCCAGAGACCCGGAGGGCACCGGGGGTCCTAAAAAAGAAACATCAGCTATCTTATCTCAGCGCAGGGTCCGATACTCCCATCAGCCTAACAGACATCCACAGATATCAGGCTACTGTTTCTAGTAGAGCTATTTCTCATTTTCTGCATCATTTTTTACTTTTCTATATGTCGATAATGAATAAGACAAGCTAATAAAGTCTGTGACTAAAAAAGAGAAAATGTTGATGGGTCAACTCGGATTTAAGCATTTAGAAACTGTTATTTTGGCTTTGAAATGTACCTTTTCTTCACTTTGTGAGAGTTATATTAATGAAAATGCAAATGTAGTTTTGAATAAGAACCCAAGTGATATTATCTTTTGTTAGTGAACATTTCTAGCAGTTGGCTGAGATAATACCTCCTATCAGAGCATTCTCACTTGCAGACACAAAGCTGTAGCATGTGTCCGGATCAACTGACATGGATTCACGTGAAATCCAAAGACTTAACACAAAAACATAAGCTCCATATTTTCCAGAGACTAATCAAAGAGAGCCCTGTGACCTGGAGACAGTGTTCAGCCTTCACTGAATCACTTCTGAGGATTTGTTATGGAGCAGAAAACATGAAGGGACTTTAAAGGCTTCTCGATGTGTACAGTGCACTTACCACAGGCGAGCATTAGTAGTGACGCTTTCATCTCTGAGCGCGCATCAACCCGCGAGGCTGCGGCAACCTGTGGCATGTATGATGAACAGTGTTATACACAGCGACATGCAAGACAGTTATTACATTAAACATTTTTGAAAAAGTTGGAGTTAAAGAAGTTTTGCATTTTCCCCCGACTACAGGTCCCCAAAATGTTACGAGTGGAGGTAATTTGGAATTGTTGTTGTTTTTTGTTCCTTCTCTGTGCTGTTTTAACCGGTTAATATGAAAAAAACTCACTGTTAATAGTTAAAGCAGAATGAGTAGAGCTGACCAACGTATCTTTAAACTTAATAAAGTTGGGGAGTTAATGAAAAAGTCGCCACTCACCGTGTTGTTTAAGGAGTTCGCTTCTCTTTTGTGTAGTACAGTCTCCCTGTTGGTCCACTTGCTGCGGAGCTGCCGGACGGATGCGAGGCTGAGCACCGTTGTTGCGATGAAGAGTCCTCAGCTCCTGCGACTCTGCGCTGGAAACCCCGGAGTGGACTTTTGGAGCGGAGCAGAACAGTACGAGAGAGGGCGCGAGCCGCCCGGAAGATGGTCGGATAAAAGGAGTTTGTTTTACTAAGGGAAAATTCTCACATTTCCTTTTTATTTGTATATATGGTAGTCAAAGCCTTCTGCAAGTAGAAATGCCACGTTCTAAAACCACGCCAATACAACATTCCTGAACTCAAGATTTAACATAGTATAGCAATAGCATCACATGTAGTGGAGTACAAAATGAACAATATTTCTTTCAAACGTGGAGAAGAAGAAGGAATATAATATAAATCTGGGAGAAAAAAATTCATGTAGAGTACAAGTATGTAAAAAGTACTTAATATACATGTACTTAGTTACATTCCATCGGTGTTAACAGGCTATTAAGTTTTATCATTTTTATTATAAAAGTTGATCCTTTATAAACCCAGCTCTTGTTTTCCGTTAAACCCTGCCAGTTTGTGTCTGAGTAGGAATGCGCGCTCCCTGCTGGACGGATTAGATTCCCTTTGATTGCACCCGATTGCACCCAATGAGCCACTCGTGACCGCGCTCAAATCACAGCTCCCCGGCTGCCCAGTCTCATAACATCAGCCTCATCCAACAGGTGTTTGGGACCATCTCCACCACAGGCTTGCAGGGAAACACATGTAGCTTTATCTGATCCAGTAATGTTAGGACTACACTGCAAACTATCACATGTTATTTCTTTGGCTCTGCAGTGTGTGTGATGTGTGCAGGTGCTGTGTTCTCCAGAACAAATACATCTCTGTCAGATTACACATTCCCAGTACGGCTTGAGGACAGCCTCTCTTTGTTAGAGCCCAGGATGCAGTGCCAGCATCAGCAGAGAGAAGAGCTGAGAGCTCCTCCAGACTGAGGACAGTGAATCATTCCTGGGTCTTGCAGTACATGGAAGCTACAGGTACAAGGCTGGAAAAGCTCTGACTGAAGGGCTCAAAATCAACATGTGATCAATGATTTGTAATCCCCACACACAAATATGTTTTCAAGTTAAAGAGCGCCTGAGGAATCATGGAAATCATGTGAGACCATTAACTTACATACTGGTTAAAAGAAAACAGGTACTTGAATATGTCCCTAACCTATGGTGGCCCGCAGGTGCTAATGTGCTTCAACGGCCCAACTTGAAACATGTGCAGTGTTTACTAAAAGCGCTGCACCAACAAAAGCTCAAACCCCAACGGACACGGGGACACCAACATGTGGTGCACACATCTGGGACTGGAGTGCTTGTTGACGTTCAGGGATTATGGAGTTGGCCAACTGTCACTGCCACTGTAAATGTACCGAAAGTGTCATTTATTTTTGTCCTATTTTTAACAATGTGATTTCATGATTCCTTACCATATTATTGCAGATCTGCTGTAAGATAGGTAGCTAACTTAGCTAATAATCATTTCAATTACACTGACAAAACACTTACAATTATGAAACAGGCCAACTGTGCCAACAGTGATAGTTGGCCAACTTCAAATTCCAACTTTGGGGATTTTAGCCTTTGGAGATCATTTACATGCAGACAAACCTATATGCCACACTACAGGAAAGGGAACCCCACAAAGCATAATAGATCATAATAAAAAAGTCTGAAATTAGGGAAAGAGACAGGGAGAACTCACTGCCTCGCCGAGTATATAGCACCCTCTAGTGGCAATGAAATACAATTACATTTCTGCTATTACAAATGTGTTAAACTTGTTATTGGAATGATTGCGTTCTGACACAAACAGGACACATGATAAAATGCATTTGCATAAACGGTATCAAATTTATTTGTCTCCATCATCATACCTCATAATGAATTTTGCTCATAAGAACATTTATGTTTGCATTTAATCAAGAGTTTCCTTTGTAATAAAAATAAACATATTTCATTTTTTTTAAATCGTACTTTTCCGCGTATTTCTTTATAGGAATGTCATATTGTAAATACCATACAAATGAGGTCAAATTACAGCAAAAACATAGAAAGCACTTTTGGTCAAAATAACAAAATTCTGATATATTTCTTCTGTTTATTACTCATGGAATCAATTATCATACTCTCCACAGGTCATCCACCTGTTGTGATAATAGCTTAAAGACATCGCATACATTACAGGGTTGATATTTAGTCAGTTAGTGGTACAGTATGTAGACAGGTGAAGGCATTCTGTGATATATAACACTTGACAGGTAATGTGTAAAACTTGATATAGTAGTAAAGGAATGGAGGTACCAGAGCAGCGTTTTATTTTCATGGTTGTGTGTCCAAGTCACAGCATCAGTCAGAGGTCTGCTCTGCGCTACAGCAGCAGGTCGGTGAGTGTAACATCCTCACGCACAGTTACTGTACTTCTGCACCTGGACCCGGATCTCGTCTCGCACCACTGTGGCGTTTTCTTTCAGCTCGTCCAGCTCCGTGCGCTGCCTCTGCATCCGCTGCTCGTTACTCTTGAACTTTTTCTCCAGTTCTGCAGAGACAGACAGGTGGAAAACCATCAACGGTTAATTACAGCCTCCATGCAGGTCTGTGCTGCTTCCCTATAACAATATCAATCAAGCCGAAACAGTCTCACACACAACCCTGTCGAAGACAATATTACCAAAAAGAATCAGGCAGTTTTCCTTTTGATGTACCAGTATGGTATATAGTAACATTTATCTTGCTATCCCAGAAACAAGCCAATAAAATGTGTTTATTTTTGGGTAGGCTTTGTCTTTTTCTTTAACCGGTCTCCAAAAACAATTCACTGATAAACATTGAATGATAAACCTTTATCCAAATCATAAGGAGAGATCATGTCAGCATCATGTCAGCTCAGTTAAGCATGCGCTGGCCCCCAGTGTCTTAACGATTGATTTGAATGGTTTGTATTTGATACATTGCCCTGTTATACTGCGTTTTTGAATAAGATTGATGCTTGTTGTAGTGGAGGCGTCGTAATGATGGCATTGAGAGGTGGATTCAGTCTGGTAGGACAACTCTGTGAAATTCCCTGCCGGCCACTGGTAATTTACCCTGTTATTATTTTATATTAATAGTGTTTTAGTTGTTGTCTCGATCTTCACTTGTGCTGTAAAAATGTACATTTTCACTATGTTGGATGAATAAAGGAATTCTGATTCGGAATACTTGCTTTGCCTCCAGACACTCTGTCTCCATAGAGTGCCACAGTGACGCGTCCTAAAACCCGGAAGTAAACTTCTTCCGGTTCCTTCGTCAAAAACCAATGCAATTTCTAAATTGGATTTTGGAAAATAGCTCGAAATAAGGTCTGTGGTTGAGACACATTTAAGAGACGGATCACGTTTTGTTCAGCCGGATAATCTCCACATGTCTACCCTACTTTTATAATCTTCTAATCATAAATCTAATCGATAGATTTATGATTCGATGTGGCACTCTATTCTCTATGTCTTTTATTGCTTTGCTCTCAGGTATTATAAGCACTATGTACCTCTGTTATCGGAAGGTTCTAAACAAATGAAGATCTTTTTATTTATCTATTTTTATTTTGGTATCCTAGGTTAGACTGAGGGAATTTACCCTTTTTATTCAAATAAAATGATTTATTTTCACTTACCTCCAGACATTATTTAATCTATAAACTCATCAAAACCTGCAACATATAACTGTATACTCTCAACAAATCATTAAGAGTAGATATTTCATTACACCACCTTAATACGAGGGGATTCCTCATAGGACAAATCACTGTAAACAATGGCCTTTGCCTACTTCCTGTGCGGGCATGTTTAGCTTCCTGTACTCACTCCTGAGTTGCTCTATCCCCTTGGTGGCTTTGTTTAGCAGGTCTTCTGCCTCCTTCTTTATTTCCTTGGCCTTCTGGTTGACGTTGTTCAGACCTCCAACATCTCCAAGAGAGTCCACCTTCATCTGCAGCTCCTGGTACCGCTGCTCTGTGTCGTTCAGGCTCTGCAGACAGTAAGGACATCAGGGCTGCATAATTAATCAGAATTCAACCAAAATAACAATATGGGCTTGTGCAATATTCAAACTGTGTAAATATTCATCTGAATAAGAGATGTTGGTGCTGCATAGATATTTAGTTTGGTTCAGATTCCTTAAAATAAATTCCAAAAGAAAAGCACAAAACAACTGACCCTCTCCAGGGAGGAGGCTTGATGCGTGGCGTTCTTAGCCAGCTCTTTAGCTCTCTTTGCCACCAGCCTGTTCTGCTCCGTCTTGTTCCTCAGAGCCTCCACTTCCATGGAGAGGTTGTTGAGGCGCATCATCACATCCATCTGCTTATCCTCCAGCCGCGTCAGCCTCTCATCCACCTGCAGAGGGATGACAAGACAAAGAATGAAGGGGGAGATGGAGAGATGTGGGAGAATGAAGAGCTCCACAGGCCTTGTGAGGCTCCTGTACCTCAGCTGTAGCGTTCCTGGTGCGGTTCAGGTTGCTGCTGGCCTCCTTCATGGTGGCTCGGGCCTTCTCTATGGCCTTCTCAGACACATCCAGAGCCTGTTTGGTGTTGTTGGCTTTATCCTTCACTCCCTCCGCCAGGCTCCTGCACAGTGACACCAGGAGTTAGTCAGACACAAAAGGTTGCACTCCTCAGTAATGAGTGTGTGTCGTAATTGTGGAATTGCATATTATTTTACGTAAATTAAAATACCTATCGAGCATTTCTACACAAAGCCACTGCAAATACAAAAAGACTGAATGAAACCAAACAACACAAACCGTGAGAACTTCTGGGAATAAGATGGCATCTTGTTATGTTCTTTTAGAACACGATATTGGAATAAATTAAACAACTTTTATTTCTAAAAAGATTATTTGCTCTACACAATTGTTAATTCATTGGTGGGCACACTATGAGAGATGATTTAACAATGACATATTGTTGAACATATTTTCTGATTCTTATGGAGACACCTGCAGCTCCTGAATGTGGTACTGTATGTAAGATTATCATTACATTTTTCAGGGTTTAAGTTTTTGAGAGGTTCTGGACCATCTGGTTAAGGAGTTTGGTCTTAATGCATTATATAATGGTATAAGGTTGTATGGAGATGTTGTGTCCTATAGGTATAAAGCTGATGAAGTCGTTTTTAGTTCTTGTAATCTGTTCCACCAAAGCAACTGGTTCTGTTTTGTTCAGTATCTGCTTGTTTTTTATCTTCATTTTTGTAATCATTCTGAATGGTGTTTGAAACCAGTTTGTTTTTTCGGAGGTTTCGTAAATCAAGCATACAAAGAACAATGGCTTTACGTCCTCTCTTTCTCTGGTCAAAAACATATTTTCCAATATCCAATCACTCCTCCACCTCAGTACCAATATGTACCCCACTCTCCTGTGCATTATAGTGCCTTCAAAAGGAAATAGGAGAGGTTTGAGGATTTACTGAGTGATTTTGTTCTTGTAATTAAGATGACCCTTTATTCATCCACAAGGGCAAAATGAAGAGTTTGTTGAATACACAAAGTACCAATACAGACATGCATAGGAATTCAGATTGAAGAAGTGGCTGCCGGTTGTATCAGGCGCCAGGGAACAGATGGTGGTTCAGTGTCTTGCTCAAGGACACCTCTCAAGCTACCAGTCTACCATCTGTTTTTTTTGTTGTTGGTCCAATTGGGACCTGAACCGGCAACCCTTCTGTTCTCAAACCAAGTCCCTACAGACTGAGCTACTGCCGCTCATTGTAGACTCACAGCTGAACCCTGGTCCATAGAAGCCTCTAATTGCAAATGGCTTCATTATTATTAAAGGCCCAGTGAAGTGTGCACCTGTGCATGATCTGTTATGCTAATATGTATAGTAATGACCAAAATTGTCTATTGAACCCATATCAAAAGATGTTGGAATAGCAATGAATTTGACGAGTTTTGAATTTGCCGCCTGGAAATCTGCAGTTGACCTCCGCCTTCGTGGGCGTGGCTTGCGATCTACTGCGGGACGTCACGAGATGGACGCCGCCGCACTATTTACATTCACCACCGTTCATTTTTTCACTTTTTCAAAGTCGAATTTCTCAACGTTTTTGAGCGAGTATTTTACTGGAAAGTGTTGCGGAGTCGACTGGAAGTGATTGCCAATCGAGAAACCTGACAATGGAGGCGACAGTGAAGAAAATCGGAGGAAAAACACACGGGAAGCGATGCATTGCCGCTGGCTGTAGTAATGTCAAGTCTGCCGAAGTGGCGATGTTTCTGTTCCCAAAAGATGAAGGTGAGCTTGGCTGGTGTCATTGTTTTGTAGATTCGTTGATTGTTCATGACAAATAAAGGCCACTGGTCGATTCGAGAGAGAGAGAAAGAGAGACTGAGAGAGTTACAGGGTTGATGTTAGCATCTGGTGCTAGCTCGGAGCTAACGGAGATTAGTTAAACATTCAACCTGTGAACTCTCTCAGTCTCTCTTTCTCTCTCTCTCTCTCTCTCTTCTCTCTCTCTCTCGAATCTGACCGGTGGCCCTTTATTTGTCATGAAACATTCCGGAATCTACAAAACATGACACGCCAAGCTCACCTTCATCTTTTGGGAACAGAAACATCGGCCACTTCGGCAGGCTTCGACATTACTACAGCCAGCGGGCAATGCATCGCTTCCCGTGTGTTTTTCCTCCGATTTTTTCGACTGTCGCCTCCTTGTCAGGTTTTCTCGATTGTCCATCACTGCCCAGTCGACTCGCAACGCTTTCCAGGTAAAATACTCGCATCAAAACGTGGAATTCGGACTTTGAAAAAGTGAAAGAAAAAAGATACGGTTTAGGTGAATGTATACATAGGTGCGGCGCGTCCATCTCGTGACCGTCCCGCAGTGATCGCCAAGCACGCCCACGAAGGCGGAGTCAACTGCAGTATTTCCGCAGGCCGGCAAATTCAAAACTCCGTCAAATTCTTTGGCTATTCGCAACATCTTTTGATATGGGGTTCAATACGACATTTTGGTTCCTTACGTATACATAGTTAGCATAACAGATCATGCGCGCAGGTGCACCTTCACTGGGCCTTACGGCCCCCCGCGATTTAAAGGCAATGTGAGCGTCCATGTCCCTTTGGATAAGGACAAATTTCACACCCGTAGTAACGTATGTCTCCTTACTTTCGATTGGATTTTTACAGTGATATCTGCATACTCACTCAACTCAAAAACCACCGGAATTATCTTTGTTGATACACAACTTGATTGGTTTAAATTGTGTACAATGCTCTTTTGTATTTTTCCCCTTCGTTCGGAGAAACAATATTTTTTCTGAGTTCTAGCGAATGGGCGAGGCACTACCCAGTAATTCCTCAGCTATCGTTTTGGACTACACAATAGTGCTTTGCTTGGACAAAACGCCTGTGTTAGTCCTCAAGCTCTGTGCTTGGATCGTTGGACGTGGCAGTGTGTGACGTTTACACCGGAGGCGTCAAACAGCACTTTCCAAGGGAATTAACTCCCATCGACGGCCACTATCGCCAAAACAGAATCAATGGTGTCCGTACCCGCCGGCTTTAGGTCACAGGCTCCTCCAAACAGTGCACACATAAAACACGATACCCAGAAAATGTACAGTAAAGAAAAATTGTAAAAAGTTGAAATAGTGCAATAGATGAGTCTACTATACAAGTGGTTTGGATATATATTTCCTTGTGCGCGGTGGTGGGAAAACTTTTTTTTTTCGTGGGCTGTGGAATTAGTGATGGGCATTTCGATCCCTTCTGGACGCAAAGTTTTTGATTCAATGTACACTTTAAGATTCGTTCAGCTGATTCATTCGTTCACTGATTCATTGTCTTTGTACTTAATCGTTCCAGTGAGTCTCTCACTACTGCGAAGGTACCGTAGCAAGAAGTTTGCTGGCGTGAAAATGTTGATATTAAACACTTTTTCACTCCCACCTTGTTGCCCATGAATTATGCTCTGGAATAGGTACATGGAAAGTTGCGGTCCGGCCCATGAGGGCGGCGTAGGGGCGCCGCCCCCGACCTCTGTCACGTACATACAAAACAATATTAAAAAATATTAAATTAAAAAATAATTTAAAAAATATATATTTCAAAAATTATTATATATTTTTTTTTAATGACACAAGGTAAATTCATACCAACTTGGTATCAGTCAAATTATAATTACAATAAGAATCTTGTTTAAAATTGTGTGTACGATGTCTAAATTACGAGCTTAT